GCTATGCAAAGTTTGTACTTTTGGCCAGAGGGTGGCTCATAGTGTCCAAAATGCAAAGACTTCGTCCCCTGAGGAGAACAAATGCACTCAGTAAATTTCACGGCAGTCTGGCTTTTAGATTTCAGTATTTGTGTTCTACATTTTGGCCCGATAGTGGCACAAGATGAAAGGTCAGGGGGTCAACAACAGAACAGAACATATTTTATTTCTTATTTATTCTTATTTCTTTGCTTTCAAGATACTGTATGGACCAGTTTTAAAGTGTAAGCCAAAGAGACATTTTGGGTCTAAATTACAAATAAGGCGTAAAAGTCAGATTAATTTAATTATATATAACACTTATATCAACATATCTTCTACTGCTGCTGCTTCTGCTGCTCATCTCATTGTCAGGTTGTAGCTATAGGTCATAAGCATTAATTAGGCTGCTACTCAAAACTGAAGTGTCTCTGCCTTCTTAGCGGACAAAATTCAGATCTAAATTAAATCTCAAAGTCATTCTTACCTAAAGTTACCGTATAACCTAAATTTGATACTGGATTTAGATTTGATAAAATGCTAACAAACCCAACCCTATGTTTAATTGATTAGAGAACAATATATGTTTTATTATAAGAAGTACAGTCTAGCCCTGCTCGATATGAAAAATGCCCTAAGATACCTTTTGTTATGATTTGGCGTTATATAAATAAATTGAATTGTAAATAAATTGAACAGATGCATAATCTGCCACCATCAGGTACATTAGTTTCTTTATTTTAGAGGCTAACTAAGCCTACGCACCACAGCATGAATAATCGGTGTAGACATTATCGGTTTTCAGAAACCCACATCGTCACACTGAATGCTCCTATGTAATGTGAATATGTACAAGTGAAGAGAGAGTCACTCACAATGAAAACTCCCTCTCTACACTCTCTTTCTCTTTGCACACAGATGTGGACAAACAGAGCCTGGCCAGTGGCCGAGTGGCAGCCTGGCCTTTTATCCCTCTCTCTCTCTCCACATCTTTCTGTCCACGCTTCAGCCTGATCAATTCTCTTTATAGACTTCTCATTTTCATTTATCTTCTAGAATGTGCTTTCCTCCCATTTCAGGTCAATACCTCTGGATGCCTCCTCTCTTGTGCTGCCAAATCCCCCGATCACTGCTCCCTCAGAAAACACCAGCATTGTTATTAACTACTACTATAAAATTCTCCTCAGCAAAAGCTAATTGAGAAGTGCAGTGGAACACATAATCTGCATTTTTTGTAAATGTATGTACAAAAGCAAAACACTAACCTAAGTGTGCTGTCAGAGTAAATTACAGCAGGATGGGAATGCGTGCGTAAAATCTGACGCAGCTGCCCAGGGCTGCTGGATGGACGAGGCAGAGGAGCGAGAGACCAGACAGTGATCAGAGAGACAGCAAGTGAGAGAGGTAAAAGACAGTAAGAATGAAAATCAACAGAACCTGTTACAGGTTGCCCTTTGGCCTTATGTACCTGATGATGAGGACAGCAGTCTCTCATATTCAGTCCGTTGTGCCATCTCATCTCAACATGCTGTATTGTGCTGTTTTACTCAATCTGTCTCTGTAAGTCAGATCCCTCTGCTTCTTCCGGGTCTATTTCAAGTAGCTGGCTTTTAAAAAAAAAAATAAAATTCTTTGTGAGGTGCAAACAACTCGGCACAACACTGATGAAGCTGTGGCTCCATCTCTTCAGCAAGTTTTTCTCCACTGCCCCTACACACATACACGCTTTGCCTACGCCTGTGCTCACTGACGCCCCAGGGTTAGGGTTACAATTTTGGATTTATTTATGCACTTTAAAAACATTTATTGAAAGTTTTATTCTTTTTACATGTTTATTTACAGCATTAAACATTGAAATGTATATTGTAACAGGCTGTATATTAACTTATTGGGAGAAAACTGGTAGTTCTATGTAAAATCAGACATTGAGCACCCTCATATCGCCAAAATGGCGTGATCCTTGTTTCACTGCGATGTTTCAACTGTGAGACTGACAGTCGAATCAGGCTCCGCCCATCGAGGCATCGAATCTTCGATATATATGCCAAATAGATCATATAAAACAGTGTTGCCATTACAACTGTAGATTTCCCCAATTCAACAATGGGACATTTATGGTTGGAACAAAGACAGACAAACTTAAACCTTTTGGTAATGGTCTTAAAATTCAATATGCATCAAAGCAGCAGTTAAGACAGCCTTGTGCCAAATTAAGGGTTAGTCACCTAAAACCCTGACAGTGTTAAGTGTGTGACTGGTCACCTGACACTGCAGGTCCTTTCAGCTCTACAGAACTTTATATTGTCTTTCAGCTCATTGTTTTGGTTGACTTTGGCCACAGCAGGCAGCTCTTTTCAGTAAATTGTACGGTACCTGCCAAGCACCAAACTAGTTAGTAACATGCTAGTAAATATCATGGAGACTAAAACAAAACAAGAGTAAATATTGGCCTTACTTTCACCTTGTGCCCAGAAACAGGAATCCAAATAAATGCAAATGTTGCTCTGTATCTGCTGTAAGTATAGGCAAAGACTTGTTTGCAAAATTTTAAAGTTTACCATTACAACTTAAAAATTTATGATATGTTTACAGCTTGTTTTGGCTGCCCCCACAAATGCTTTTATAAGTAGGTTTTACTGTTTAGTCAAAGCACAACTTCATGAGGTGATGTAATGTGGTTTCAGATGGTGGCATACAGTGAGCAGTTTCTAATGTTGTAACTGTTTTTAGAGATCAAGCAACAAGTGGCTGCAGAGGATAACATGACTCACGAGCCAAAACCCGAGCCAAAACTGAAAAAGATGAACACGAACATGTATATACAAATACTAGTGGAGCCAGGGTTAAGAGACCAGACTGGCGGAACTGAAGGGAATATAATTGTGTCTATTGGACATTTCAAACACAGAATAGTTATAAACACAACGTCACCTTGTCAAAATAATTGGCTGAAGTTAGCAGGTGAGAAAACTAGCCTGCATGGTCTTAAAGGAACGACAACTCCTCCATTTCCATTCAGCATAAAGTTGCATAGTGTGAAATTGCCAAGTGGTATGGTGTGAACTACACAGCCACGGTGAGACCTGTATCCATGACGACTTAGCCGTTGACCAGGCAAGCAGCAGCTCTCAGAGACCGACTATTGCTGGCCAGTCTGAAGGCGACTTTAGAGTTCATGGCTTCCGAACACAACTTCCTTTTAATGATACAAAAAACTAAAATATCAAGTTAACCCACACATAGACTGAGAACGGTGTGATTGCTTTGTGGTTGCTGAGAATGATTTCACTGCTGAATCAAATAAGAGTTAATAACAGAGCAAAGCCTCATTCAGCACTGCAGCATTTGCAGCTCTGAGGCATTGTATACATTTTGCACTGTGAGAGGAGCCTACAAAGGACCAGCTGACACCATACTGAGGCTTTTAAAAATGTAACATGTTATGTATTTATTTACATCTCTCACAAAGTCAGGGAGAGGTCATAGACGGTTGTCTGCTATTATTATTTTTCTCAGCACTAAACCGATATCTAAAACATCTGAGCTCTTCTTTGAGCAAATTATTTAATCAACTGTTCATATTCATATTTGAATGCACATTTTGTCAGCATTAGTCAGATGTTTCACAGTACCTGTTCAAAGTAAAACCTGGGATAATTGCCCACACTGGTTTCTTTCATTGAGGTGAGTCAACATTGAATATAGTGGGACAGAAATCTGCTGATGAGCTGCTCGCCATTGGTTAAAAATTTCAAGCATGTTGCACTTGTGGCCGCACATCTGCTGTGATGTCTCAGCAGATGTTTTCTTTCAGCTGTTTGTTGTTGTTTATTGTTTACATGATCCCCATTAGCATTAGATACAGTTTGTAGTCTGAGGGCCATACAAATGGAATGTAAAATACAGCAAAAATACAAAATTACTTTTACACAAATTACTTGAAGGCTGAGGACTGAATTTTTTCATAACCTGGATAAATACGTTACTTATAAATAAGTTACATTACATTTGACCATATTGCCAAAAATACAGTATATTTCATTTACAATTTCAAGCTTTTTGTGTGTTTGATGTTAGTTGGCAACAGGGTCAAATCTGAATAGGTTCTGTACAGAATAGTTTGGGAAGGTTTTTAGGTTTGGGGGGAGATACTGTAATTGAGCCTACTCAGTATTCCTAGTAAGATGCTGGTGTATTCAAGCTAGTCTAAGAAGAATTTGGGTTTTACTGGTAAATATTTTAGAGGTTTGGTTTTGCTGATAGTCAAGATAGTTTGGTATGAATTTTGGCAATGCTAATGTGATATTATATGCAGAGCTCTGCCAATATCACATTAGCTTTTATATTTCTTTCTTGTTGGCTGCTGACCAAACAGAGCAATTAGAACCAATGATGATATGATCAAGTTCATTACATCTTAAGAACACTTTCTACTAATGCTTAAGTCAAGTAAATTTGATTTATATAGCCCAATTTCACACATTTGACTCATGGGGCTTTAGAAGCTGAACACCACACAACACCCCGTATCCTTAGATCCACGTTTCAGATAAAAAAAAAGAACTCCCACCAGAAAGAGCAACAGAAGAAGGATCCCTCTCCCAGGGAATGTTGTGCCTCTCATGATTTTCTTTAAAATATTATTATGTGCTGAGTCCAAGAAAGATGAAGCCATAAGAAGTGATACCAAGAAGTTTTTTTTTTTTGATTTGTTCTAATTGGACATCCCTCAAAAAAACCTGTTAAACACCAGCTGTGACATCACTGAACATGGTAACAGAGAACCCTTTTGTGATTCAGTGTTGATGCAGTCTTTTTAACCTTGGAGCTGACCTGCTGTTTAACTGGAGTTTGCTGCCTCTTGCTCTGAGCTGTGGCTTCACAAAACACTATCAGCTGCCCGGGGTTACCCGTGCTGAAAAAGTGGGCATGATGCTGTTAAGTGCATATGGTGTATATTAATGTCACGTCTTGTAAATTACCGTGACAGTCTTGATGCGACCGCTGCCCCTGGTGCAGGTCCAGCCGGATCGGTTAAACAGGAGGCTGCAGACCTCCCCCTCCAGGCAGGGAGCCATCTCACACCACTGACGGCTCCGCACAATTCGTGCTGGGAGGGCGAAAGACAAGAGGGCAAAAAGGCAAATTAGGCAGACAGACTCAAAGACCTAGTGAGAGGCTTCACAATGTCAACAACAATAACAAAACTGTCCTTTTTTGCTCACCAGACAGGAAAGCATCTTCGTGTGAGGATGTGTCAACAAGCCTGTAGTATTTTAATTAGGTTCTTGTTGAACTACCATCCTGTGGTAGTAACCTTTACAGACCAGCTGGCGCTCCATAAATTACTTGCCTGCTAATTCTAGCTTTCACTGCAGCTGCATTGAAAGATCGCTTTCTCCTTTTTACATTTTGTTACACTTAATATAACAAACAGCAAGATTTTTTTTAGGGTATTCTAGGTAAAAGGTTCTAGGTAAAAAGTAATTTGTATCAATTTACAATATAACATTTTTGTATTTCTTTTCTTGAAGCTACACTGTAAAATGTTTTTCCAACTTGCGCCCAAGGGACAATACACCAAATAGATGCAATGTGAGCTCTTTAACTGGTTTGATGCTGCATGTCTTTTAACCATCAAGGCCAGACATAGTGTGCAGTATATCACAGACATCTCAGGCATCTCTCTATAGCTACATAGCAAGAGTGCAGGCTCATTGTTGGTTGGTTGGTGGCCCCAGTCCCCTTATCCACCACATTTTGCAGCTAAATCAGGAAAATGATAAACCATTGCAAAAGAACAGTAGTACTTTAATTGGAAATGTACTGAATTTGTGGATATACAATGGCATGAAATGGTCCGTTTTTGGCTAAAGTCTAATTTGATCATGTTTTTTACATTTCTAAATAGTATAGGCATTCTACACAAAATAATGCAGCCTGATAAAAGTTTCCTCTTATAAATTAAAGGATGCTTTTGGAAATACTTGTAAAATCAATTATATTGCTGTCTGGTGTTGTACATTTTAAGATGAAAATCTGGAGGTTAAGAATGTAACAAATGTTTCCTGAGGGAGGGAAATAAGTATGGGGCATTGCGTCCTCGCGAGAACAATCTGAAAAAAATCTTTCAAAATGCCTGTCAAGGTCAATGAGGCTGTTTGTAGACAGGAAAAGTCCAACCTTTCAGTACAAGCTGCATACATGATTGATGGACAGAGAGGGCATGTATGTCCCTTATGTGCTTTGCTGAGAACAGTGCTAATACGAATACAGTTTTATACAAGAGTATATCGATTCAAATAGATGGTTAATGGTAAACCTTCAAACCATTGGTTTGAAGGGTGCCTCACACAGTACAAAACCAGTGCAAGGTCCCACTGAGGGACATGTTTAGGGACCTTCATTAAAGGGAGGCACCTAAATCTGATCCATTACATGCAGGTGAAGTCTCCACTGTTCAACATCCCTGTGATGTGCATCGCTCTGAGAGATAACAGTGTGTGCTGCTCCATGAAAGCAGACTGTAGGAGTGAGAGAGTAGTTTAAGGGAACGTGTCCCTCCATTTGATTATGTGCGCAATTTTGCATGCACTGTCACTACACACTAACATGGTGTCCCACCAGCAGACCCAAGAAGCATGGAGGCTGTATTCAGCGCATGAACGGCCAGCTACAATATATTTTCTCCAGCTGAGAGGCGGATAATCTGTCTGCTAGCAGAGTTAGGCTTACAGTAGGTGACAGGTGGCTGGCCAGTGTCCCATCTATCGGGTGTTGGTCAATCCAGTGGACTTCACACCCTCTGGGAAAAAGGCAGACTGGGAGATGCCCTGGACTGTGAGAGCTCAAGTGTTAAGTTAGGGAAGACCAGCAAATTGTGTCTCATTGAAGGCTGCTAGCTGCCTGCAAGCTGGGTCTGCTGTTGGCAGGAAAGTGGAGCGAGCCACGCTCTGTGGCACAAGTCGATTAAGGCTGGAATGGTACCATCGGTGTCAGTGTGAAGAGCTACAGCCCATAGGATCTGGCTATGCTCTTCTCCCTCATCCTCTCCTCCAGCTTCAGTGTCACCTTCAGAGAAACTTTCTGAAGCGGGAAAAGAGACAGCTCATTGTCAGAAAGTACACCTAGCGGACATTATCCATGGTGACAGTGAAGTTGACCGGGTCCTCCTCCATGCCTCCATACTGAGCGGTAAGGAGTATGAGGTCCATCCGATCCCCCACAACTGTCCGGCCCTGCTTTCTTGAGTGGGTTTGGGAATAGGGTATTTGTTAGCAAGGCTAAGCAAATATCCGTTAGCTGGGCTAAATAGTAGCGAGTGTTAGAGCTAGTTAGCAAGCTAAAGATGCGCAACACAGAAACAAGCCTTGATAGCAACACCCTGGGTAGGGAGCAAGCAAGGGTTCTGCTGTAGTCAGGTTGTGCGAGGTGTAGTGCAAATAGATTGAGGAGAGGAGACAGGTGGTTTTGCAGCCCCAGATGAAGGTAGGACTTTCCCTGCCTGCATTTTTTTGGGAACTTTTGTACCTTTTGTAGATAAATGGCAAGAGCAGGAAGATAACAGGAAATGGAGGGAGTAAGAGAGAGAGAGAGATGGGGAACAAAAGTCCCCGTGATCTTTAAGGATAAGAGGGTATAGCAACTAGTGTTGTAGTCAAGACCGCCCAAACCGAGACCAAGTCAAGACCAAGACCAGAGTTTATCAAGACCGAGACAAGACCAAGACTTTTAGGGGCTGAGAGCAGTCGAGACCAAGACCGAGGGAGGGTGAGACTGAGTCAAGACCAAGAACAGTTCCCCACATTACATGACACACAATAAAATGTGGAACGAGATCATAGAAGTACCTATGATCTCAAATTGAAACCGAGTACAAATGCGGTCGAGACCGAGATGAGACCAAGACCATCAAAAAGTGGTCTTAAGAGCACTACAACACTAGTAGCACCTGTAATGCTACATTGGATATTGTTTTAGCAATACTGTTCAGTTTTGGCTGATATGAAATGTGCCTTCAGGATGTTAAAACCTGGATGACCTGTAATTTTCTAATGTTAAACTCAGATAAAACTGAAGTTATTATTCTGGGGTCTAAGCACCTCCGTGACGCATTATCTAAAGATATAGTTTCCCTTGATCGCCCTGGCCTCCAGCACCACTGTGAGGAATCTTGGAGTTATCTTTGATCAGGACATGTCGTTTAAGTTTCACATTAAGCAAATTTCAAGGACCGCCTTTTTTCACCTACGTAATATTGTGAAAATCAGGAATATTCTGTCTATAAATGATGCAGAAAAACTAGTCCATGCATTTGTTACTTCTAGGCTGGATTACTGCAATTCCTTATTATCAGGCTGCTCGAAAAAGTCCGTTAAGACTCTTCAGCTGATCCAGAATGCTGCAGCACGTGTTCTGACAGGAACCAGGAAAAGAGATCACATTTCTCCTGTTTTAGCTTCTTTGCATTGGCTTCCAGTAAAATCCAGAATAGAATTTAAAATCATTCTTCTTACCAACAAAGCTCTTAGTGGTCAGGCACCATCTTATCTTAAAGAGCTCATAGTACCTTACTACCCCACCAGAGCACTGCGCTCCCAGAATGCAGGGTTACTTGTGGTTCCTAGAGTCTCCAAAAGTAGACTACGAGCCAGAGCGTTCAGCTATCAAGCTCCTCTCCTGTGGAACCAGGTTCCAGTTTGGGTTCAGGAGGCAGACACCATCTCCACATTTAAGAGTAGGCTTAAGACTTTCCTCTTTGATAAAGCTTATAGTTAGGGCTGGCTCAGGTGAGTCCTGAACCATCCCTTAGTTATGCTGCTATAGGCCTAGACTGCCGGGAGATTTCCTATGATGCACTGAGCTCCTCTCTCCTCTACTTTCTCTCCCTCTGTATGCAACCTCATCCCATTATTGCATTACTAACACAACTTCTCCCCTTTCCGGTAGTCTTGTGCTTTCTCGTCCCTCTCCTCTCTCCTCCTATCACTTCCTGCAGGTGTTTCTGGCTCTGGAGCTGTGGCTGCGGGTCACCTGCTGCTCCCGTGTTCCTGCTCGACATCCTCTGCTACAACAACTTTTGTTACTAGTCCTATTGTTATTATTGTTATTATAATCATTAACATTACGACTGTAACCATTAACACTACTATAAATATCTGCACCATTTTTCATTTAGTCTATAGCAACATCACCTTTACTGTCTGTACCTCTGTGTGTATATTGTGTAGGCTGCCTCCCTCCCCTCTCTCTCCTTCCATCCCTCTCTTTTTCTCTCTGTTCCTCTCTTGCCCTCTCCCTCTCTCTCTCTCTCTCCCTCTCTCTCCTTCACCCCCAACCGGTCGAGGCAGATGGCCGCCCACCCTGAGCCATGGTTCTGCTTGAGGTTTCTGCCTCTTAAAAGGAAGTTTTTCCTTGCCTCTGTCGCCTAGTGCTGCTCTTGGTGGGAACTGTTGGGCTTCTGTAAATAAACATCATAGAGTAAGGTCTAGACCTGCTCTTTTATGAAAAGCGCTGTGAGATAACTGTTGTTGTGATTTGGCGCTATATAAATATAATTGCATTGAATTGAATTGAATTATTAGTTAGCTGCACATTTATCACAATTTAGTCAATGCAGGGCAAAATAAACTGTGAAAGTTATCTGGCCATGAGCAACTAATCTAAACAAGATTTGAGAAACTTGTTATGTTTTGATTTTGGAAGGAGATACTATACGTGGATAGGTTATATTTGATATGCTGTAAACATGCTAACAATTTTATTTAATCTCATGTTTTGTTAATACATGCAAACACATTGTTAACACAACAAAAGGAATTAGTAATATTTCAATACATAGATTACAGGGATTGAAATACAGATTAGAAAGGCAATAGCACAAACAACACCAACAAGCTTCAGTCTTCTTAAAGTTATTTGTGTTCTGGAGACATCAGGCTGTCAGACTGAAAGCTCTCATTCTTCCTCTGCAGTCTCTCTGCATGACATTGAATTAGCATTCGTCTGTAGTCAACGTTGATAAGCACTGATTGTTCTTTACACAGCGTGCTAAAGCAACACTGAAAGGTTATCAGCACTCTGCGGACCTGGCCAGGGCCGCTGCTCCTG